TCAAACACTATTCATTCATCCAGGCCATGTTTAATCAAGTCTCTGCCCACTCAAGCATAGAAATACTGGACAGAAAGGTGGCAAATTACAGCTTTATTATCTTATGGGGCAAGGTTTGAAGGCTATCTAGTGAAGTCTACGGATAAAAGTACAGATTACAACAGGTGACAGAAAACTACATGAAGTTTGAAAAGCTTGTGTTATGTTTCTGAATTTTATGCGGTCAAGCAAGTCTGTTTTTCTTCTTCAAAATAACATACACAGAAGATCTCTTCCTTTTATTGTACAAAGAAGAGGTAAACAAAAGCACAAGAAGTACTTCCTTTCTCCCTCTGTTGTTTTTTAAATGCATTTATACAATAATAATAATGAAAAAAGAAGAACATAAGAGTTTGACACACACACATCATATAAGAACAATGTAAACTAATTAGAGAAATTCCACATCACCTTAAAGCTGCAAGAGCATCAATTACTAAGTACAGATCACAGGCATATTTTTCCTCTCATAAATCAATATTTGTTTTCTGAATGCAGGAGTGGAAACTGCTCAGGTTGAAACCATTCAAGGTTGACTCAAACATCTCCTGCAGCAATAACTCTGGGTTGCATGCTGCTCCAGAACAGAACAGCAATGAACGCCTATAAATCCTCTGCAGTTAACGAATGGATCACAGTTTAAGGTTCCTTCTGTGGACACTGACAGTGGGATGGGACGCAGTGAAGATGGGAGAGTTTAAGCCTGACAGTGTGATTCTGAAAGTAATGATGCTACAGCTACTTCAGGCTGCTTACTTGAAGTCAAATGCTCATAACTGTGATGATATTTCTCAGCAATGAGTCACATTATTGCAAATTTGGGAATGAAGTTCCATCCAGCTGCAGAGCTGTGGTCAGCATAAGCAATGGTAAGATTTACGTGCCATTAATCAACCTCCATTGGAAATGGAATGCATAGCATTCTGAAGAAGCCAGACTGGTTTGATCGCCAGGAATACACTATGCCAAATTAATTTACTTGCCATAATGTCATCACAGACCCTTTGGTTTGCTAACACACCGGAACACAGAGATACAACACAGCCCTCACTTCCAAACTACTCTGTTATCCATTCCTTGGAATGAAAGAGAGGAAGTGCAAACAAGCCTGTTCCTCCCGCTGGACGTGCAGTTTCCCACACCGTGACAATAAAGGTATTGAACAGAAGCAGATTTTCTTTCTCAGAAATACTTAAAGTCAATCTTTACACAGTGATTTTAGATGAGCCAAGTCTGTGCTCTGAAATGCTAAACCCTCAGAGGAACCTCTGCTCTGCTGGGGACTGGAGATGAAGCAAAAACCCACCAGGAATTGTCACAGCACCACTGACGATGGCATCAGAGGGATGAAGTGTTTTGCCAGCAGCTTAGCAAAACAGGTAAGATTCTGAATGCTCTTCTGTTTACAGACCACATTCAGGGCAATAGCACACTACAGTAACTCACACATATAGAAAGTTTTAATAGCTTTTCTGTTTATTACTTAAAAAATACATTAACACATAAGAGTTTAAAGAACTCAGGTGCTCAGAAATTGAAAAAAAAACACCAATAGATTTAACTATATTTGCTTCTTCATGCTGCCCAGAGGTACGTGATGATTTATTGTTCACACAGAGGAAACAACCTATAGCATGGACAATACTTCAGGAAATGAATCAGCTGTGAAGGAAGCCTCCAGGCACAGTGCTACAGGCAGGGCATGTGACCAAGCCAGGAGAAATGCTCAGCATGCAGCTCTAATGGCAAACAAATCCTTATGTTATAAGGGAACAATGAAAATACCAAGCAATAGCAGCAACAAGGGGAAACACACTGGAGGTTAACAAAAGACAACAGGTAGAAAATGTTCTTTGCATTTAGAAACAAAGATATCATGCTCAAGTTCTGAGGCCTTCCACCAAAGCTGGAAAGCACAGGGCACGTTCAATCAAACTTTTCAGAAACACAGCCCTAAGGAGCAGATTCCAGCCCAGTTTTCAGAGCTCAGAGCAAGGGAAGCAATGGCCTTTTCAGGCCACTCACACAAGCAGCCACTACCAGCGTGCAGCATGCTAAGGCTTCCTCCTCTTATATCCCTGACAGCCCGGCCATTGCTAGCCAAAGAGCATGGAAGTGCCAAGGGCCCCAAAAAATCCACCAGAAGCACTGACAGCGCACAGCACAATCTCACAGCCTCTCTCAATCTCGTTTCACCACTACTGCCACTTAGCAAGGAAACTGACATGCAAACAACCCCAACGTGCCTTTAGCCAATCTGCTCAAGCAAATCTCAGACTGTATTCAAACTAGTAGAAACAGAAGTTCCAGATCCAATACCTGCTGATGAAAAGCAGTAACTCTCTCACTAAACAGGCATATTGTTTACAATTTAGGTAGAACTCCAACTTTATGAACATTTAAAAGAAGAAGTATTCCCTAAGGGACAGCCCTGGTTAATTCTGCTCTCTTAACTTACCATAACATACTTCCTATACACTGAGCTAATTTTTAACAGCAAGGTCAGTGAGTTCTGCACAGCTCATTGACGAGGAATACAAGGATTCTGCTGGAGTTGAAAAGGTAGGAACGCAGCTCACAGTGAGCTCACCAGGGCTGACTGACAGGTCCCTTACACACACAACAAACCCAACCCAATCTGGTGTTTTAGCAGGGAAGCACGTACTTCAGCTTTCAGATAAGAAGTCAAACATAACAAGCGCAACCCAATTCTTCTTTGCTGCAAACGCAGCCGGATACCACTTGCTCTACCCTCCATGACTATAAAGAAACAAGAGATCATGTTTTTCTTGCCTCAAACATTCTTCTCACCAGCCTTTTCCTTCTAAACTTGAACTCAGTTTCTTTGAATTTTGACACGCATCAGCATCCTTGCTCTGTCTGCAAGCATAATACCAAACCCAGACAGACTTACAGCTCCCCAAGCACTGAGTAGCACCCAAGGACCACCCCTTGTAATGAGAACACTGCTATGTCTGTATCTGTGTGTGGCTCTTGCCTGCAATGCCGCACACTACAGGCTCAGCCTGACCCTCCCGGATCACTTCCTGCAGTACTGCTGCCTCACTCACTGCACTCCAGTTTGTTTTATGGACTTGATCTTCCTGTCACACACTGCAGTTCAGTCTTGCTGCTTTAAAACGTTTCTATAGTTTAAGTAAGGACCAGAAGCCATAAACCACTTGATACAGCAACTGCGTGACCCAAATCTTGTCTGAGTGCACCCTGATTAATGCTGTCAGACCCCATTCAAGCTCTCTTACAATCAGACCAACCACCGAAAACCACCAGCTTTACGTTTCTCAGTGAGCTGCGTATTGACAGCAACTTCACTTAGAAAACGCTTCTCGCCACGCTCATCCTTTGCTGCTCAGCAGAAAGAGAGGCCGTCACAGGGGACCTCATTAACCCAGCTCCACCAGCGGAGCGCTCGGAGGAGATGCTGCGACGCGGAGCCGCGATACCCAGCTGTGCCTCCAGCAGCACGGCGGGCAGCGCAGCGCCGCGTCCCCCCGCAGCCCCGGCCCGAAGGAACGCGGTATTTCTTGTTTTTATCGCCTCTCACGCTCTACTTCCCAGGACGAACCCGTGACGTTGTTACAAATTAAAAGCCACGGCCACGAGCGCGGCACCACCTCACGGAAGCGCGTCCGTCCCGGGGCGAGCAAACACGGCCCAACGCGGGGCCGAACTCCGGGACGAAACACCGCGGTACCGCAGGGAACCCAGCCGAGGGGAGCCGCCACGAAGGGCGGGAGCGCAACCCCACGGCACGGCGCGCTGTGGCGCGGCTCCGATCCGCCCCGCGCCGCCCCCACAGCCGCAGCGCCGCTCCCGCCCGCCGCCCCCCTCACGGCCCCCGCTCACTTGAGGTGGTCCAAGGAGTGAATGCTGCGGGCGGCCTTCCCGTGCCCGCCGCCCACCCAGCTCCGGGAGCGGCCGAACATGCTGGCGGAGCACGGCGGGGTCTTATCGCCTCATGGCCCCGCGGGGACGGGCGACGGAGGCCGCGGACGGAGCTCAACGGCGCTGACGGCTACCGGCGCGCACCCGCAGCCGTGCGCATGCGCGGCCGGGGCACGCCGGGAATCGCTCCTCGGAGCGGACTGCAGCTCCCAGCGGGCACCGCGCCGCTCCGGCCGGCGGCTGCGGGCGGCGCGCTCCTTCGCGCCGGGCTGCGGGGAAACTGTGCTGCGCAGCGCCGGCTGCTTGCCTGGCACGACGGGGCGCGCTGCGGGCCGCAGCCAGCCCTCAGAGCTCCGTAGGCGGGAAGAATGTAAACAAGCAAAGGCGGCACCAGCCGACACAGCCCTGAGGTGTGCGCGCTGCTTCCTTCGTAACGGGGCAGCGCGTGTGGGCTCCGACACCGCGCGTCGCCTCAGGCGGGCGGCTGCGGAGCGGGGAGAGGGGAGAGGGCAGACCCCGAACGGAGCGCAGCTTCGGGCGGCTGAAGGGCTGGAGCCGAGATCAAACCCGTGTAAAAAAAAAAAAAAAAAGAAAAAAAGAAAAGTTTACAGTCGCGCCTTCGCTTCTGCCGCAGAGAGCACCGCAGCCCCACGGGACAGCCCGATAGTACAGCCCTATAGGTCAACCCTATAGTACAGCCCTACGGGACAGCCCCGCACGGCCGAGCCCCGCGCACCGCTGCGGAGGCGCTGACGGACGCCCTTCCCCCCCCCAACCCGGCCCGATCCGCGCTGGCCGCCAGCAGCGGCGCGGGGGGAGCGCGGAGGTAAACGGCGCGGCGGGGCGGAGCGGAGCGCAGCGCGCGGGGCAGGTGCTCGGCCCCGATGCGGGAACGCGCCCGCGGGGTCGTTCCGCCGAGTTTGCGGGCGGGAGGAGGCCGGGAGGCGGCGGCGCTGCGGCGGCCGGGGCTCCGCGGAGCGCCTTCTGCCGGCGGCGGGGCTGCGGCAGCCGGAGCCGCGCGGTCCGCCCGCAGCTCGGCGGTGCCGCCTCTCCCCGCGGGTCCGCTCCGGCTCCGTCCCCGCTCTGCGCCCCGGGGGCCGCGGCCCGCCGCCCCGGCTGCATGCCCGCCGCGGTGTCGGCACGGCTGGATTCGCTGGAGTCCTGGGCCTTCCACGCGCTGCTGGTGCTGCCCTATATGTTCTACGTGGGCTTGTTCTTCGTCAACGTGCTGATCCTCTACTACGCCTTCCTGATGGAGTACATCGTCCTCAACGTGGGCATCGTCTTCCTGCCCGAGGACATGGACCAGGCGCTGGTGGACCTGGGGGTGCTCTCCGACCCCGGCTCGGCGCTGTACGAGACCGACAGCGAGCTGGACGTCTTCGACGCCTACTTGGAGTGACGCCGTCCCGGCGCGGCCCCGGGATGCCCGCGCCGCCTCTCCCCTCGCGGCGCCCCCGGAACGCGCCGCCGCCGGGCCGGGCCGCGGAGGGGCCGCAGAAGTAAGTCAGAACCGGCGGCTCCCGGGGACCCGCAGCCTTCGGAACGGCGGGGAGGGAGCGGCGGGGCGAGGGAGGGCCGAGCTGCGCTCCGGGCGGCTGCGGCTGTCAGCGCGGCATCGGGGCTGCGGGCGGTCAGCAGCCGCGCTTCCCGAGGCTCGGAGGTGCTGTGAGCCTCTGCCCGGGATCGTCGCAGCGATCGGAGCGCGAGGGTTTGTTTGATCAAACGTTTTGTTACCGCTGTAGCTGTCGGTGAAGATACCGCGTTGGAAATGTAAAGACTCAGCGTTTTGTAACGCTGAACTGCAGTTGAGGAGAGAACCACTATTTCCAGCGAGGACGTTCTGTGCCAAATGGATGTTAACAAAAATGTTCACAGTTTAAGTGTTTCCAGATCTGCCAACAGAATGTTTAAGCAAAATATCGCCTGTGAGTTTGAAAAGCGGGTTAGGATGCCTTTCAAGTTACACTTGAAAACATGCAGGTAGGGGTTTGTGCTGTAAGGTCACAGAGATGACCTTGGTGAACACGTTGCACAAGTGCTGCCTGTCACGGTGCTATTTTAGTGTCTTCCACATGAAAAAAACCACACCATAAAAGCAAAACCACATCTCTACAATGCAGTCCTTCATACTGAAACTCTAAATATTTCCATTAAGGTTCCGTATAAAGCAATAGTGTCAGGTTTTGGTCAATAGCCTAGAAGATATGAAATGGGAATTGGTGGTGTTGGATGAATATGGATAGCACCAACACAGGTGAGCAAGGCTTGGACAACAGCACGAGGGAGCACAGAAGTGTGTGTGTGGTATTGGAGACACACACATCTCTTGCTGCTGGACAAATCCCACTGCAGTTAGAAGAGATAAAAGCATACATAATTTGGTGTATGTTGGCATGTCTGTTTGGTGCATCCCAAGCGACTGGGTTAGAATCCCTTCTGCTGGTACAGATCTGTAGCAGAGCTGAACTGCCCACACTGTGCTGCTGCTGTGGCTGTCCTCGGTCCTTTTCAGTTGGGCAAACAACACATGGCTTTAGAATACAGGAATAGGAATCAAAAGCCTTTGTAAGTATCCTACAGACCGGTATCTCCTGTCTTCCAGGGAAGAAATTCATAGTAATTAATGGAAATTTAAGCAAAATCTTTGGTGCAGAAAGTACTAACCCTTTGCTCCTCAGAAACACCTTTCCCCAAACTGCTGATCTTATTACTCCAACGTCACCTAGTACAAGGATTCAAAAAATAAACATTTTTTAATGCTTGTATTAGGTGATGGTGGAGGACTTTTCTGCTGGCCAGGATTTGTTACAGTGAATTCATCTGGTTTTCAGGGAGACCCAAGGAGAATAACAGCCATATCAGTTCACGCAGGGGATTCTTTCTACTACACGAACACATCGTTTCATAGAGCACAGGATGTGAGCACCGTTCTGATCAATGTCAGCTTGGGCTAAATGGGCTTCTTAACATTTTCCTTTATATTAGTAGGTTAAGAAGCTCTTCAAAGTACTTGGTACTCTCACTGTAAGACAACGTCAGCTCCATATGTAGAAATGGCAGTGATGTCACCGTGCTCAGGTAAGCACCAACCTGCTCAGCCCTGTCGTTTGGCAGCTGTTGTCTTACATTGTTGTTTCCACTGAGAACCAAATCACAAATCTCCAACTACCAGAGAGCAAAGCATACACCATTACTGTGCTTCATCTATTTATATATTTAATTATACGTTCAGCAACCAGGCTGCAAATTACCTGGTTATTCAGCTACCAGGCCAAGGCTCAGCACGTCACCGTGAGGAGGGATTTGTGCTCAGATCCTGCTTATGGAGTTCTTCACAGTGCTGTGGTATTTGTCACCACCGGCTCCCTGTGTGAAGCCATGGGCACAGGAATGCTCACTTTGAGCTGGCATGCTGAGGATTCAGCACAAGATGCAGAAAGAGCGGTCTCAGCTTTACCAGCAGGGATGAAGTGATAGGAGTATCGCTCTTTGCACTAAGAATAAGAGGAGTGCTCTTCATGTGACTCACCAGCGATTACTGAGAACAACTAAAAAGCAGTGATTAGCCTCAGTTAAAGCCTTGCAGGTGTGCTCCTTGCATTTAAGAAGTGTTGCCTGCCACGCAGGAGATGAGTGGCATGCGTGAACAGGGATACAAAGGGAGGAAATCCCAAGAGGCCATTCTGCACAATGTGGAAAGGCTTATTTCAAAGTAAAAGAGCACGTGGATCAGAAGAGCTGTGTTCTCTCTTGCACTGAAAACCTCAGCTGAACATACTCACTAGGAGCAGAATTACATTCAAATTTGTAACCATAATTGGTGGCAGAGGCTGAAGATAGACAACTAAGAAGCCTGTCCTACTCAAATGGAGAAATCCATCTGTGTGAGCTGAGCAGGACTGAGCTGACTCATGGCACCTACCCTTTTCCCTTGGGTATGCCAGATTCTTCATCATATTTCAAGTCCCCTGGAATAAGGTGATGTGATTGTTGTCTTTGCATTGCCTTAAAATCAGATGTGACTCATCACAAAGTCCTCTAATCAAAGGGATAATGAGCAATTGATAATGAAACCAAATAGGAAATATTAGATTTACATAATTTTACTGTACAAGTGTTACCTATGGTTTTGTTTTTTTTTCCAAAATGAATTACAGTGTATGTCTTTGATGAGCAGAATCCAGCACCCAAAAGCTTGTGACTCAGCACTTCTGCTCTTTGCCAGCATTTAAATCCTGTATCAGTCAAAGAAATAGCTGTACTCATCAGCTTATCAAAGTAGTGCCAATTAGAGCTGAGGGTTCAGCGTCTGCAGGAGGCAATGTGGTCCAGAGGGGAAGGAAAGAAGCATGCTGGGCTCCTGCCTGGGTCTGCCATTGGCAGCTTCTGTGCGCTTACCTCAGCTGTGCTTCTCTTCCATCTCAGAAACTGAGATGCCTCATAAAGGAGTGGATCAGAAGAATGTTACCAACAGCCATGCCAGGATGCACATAAATGCATTAGAACTCTCCCTGACTTGGAATCATACAAATAATGGGCAGAGTGATCTGTTACTTTTTTTTAACCTTCTCATTTTTCACTATGCTCTTCCCTTATTTGTAGGAATCTCCATGCCAAAGAAAAAGGTGAATCATTGACTCCATGAGATGGCTAATTTGTCTATTTTGTTATCAGTTATAATGACAGCATTAAGAGCAACAGCTGGAATTTTCAGAGTTGTGAACTCTTAGGTGTTACTAAAATTATTAGAAGCTGAATGCTTGAACTCACCTGGCAGCTCTGCTGTAAGGAGACTTGTATTCCAGTGGTTCTTTGCAGGAGTTCTGTCCTAGATGGAAAGAAGACGGAATTGTGGCTGAATGATGAACTGTCCGTTCAGTGCTGCTAACCACAGCCTGGCAGGTTGAATTCAGTTTGATTCTTTTTGTTTGTTTTCTCTTGAGAATGGGCAAAACACTTTGTTTCAGATGACAACTTGCAATCCTAAAATAGAAGAATAATTTGTTTAGAGAAATTTAGGATTCATATTTGACCCATACAATTTTTTGTCTTTTGTCCCTTGTAATGATGCTAATTTATACAGAGTATGAGCATCCCAAGGAATTAAGTAGTACACAGAAATGGCTAAGGCTTTCCATTTCTTCTGGGAAATTTTCAGATGGTCTTACTCTTCCCAGTTACAGAGCCTGAGTGTTTTGTCTGGCCACAAAGTTGGGAAAAAACAGGTTAAAAGTTTGAGGGATGTTCTCTGAGAACAAGAAGTGTTTCTAACATATATCCTGTCTACTTTTCAAGCCTGGTATGAGATCAGAGTTCATTAAAAAGAGCTAGCAAGTGTTGAAATCAATCACAGAATTCTGGAAAAGTTGTGCAGCTGAGACCTGAATGCAGGAAGATCAATATCTCTTTCAGGCACCTGAAACTATTGAGGAAAATCTGACACAAATTTACTCATTCAGTTTACAGACCACCATTCTCTTCATGTAGAGCAGTATGCATTTCCTCAAAGAGTTTTTTTTTAAAGTGGTTGAACATTCTGTCAAGAATTCCATAAGTAGCTGTAGAAACTCCACCATCTGCTATTAAGGGGTTTAAAAATCTTCCTTTTCAAGGTCTGGTGGGGGGTTGGTGTGGAATGGGGTCAGTGGAAATGGGAAGCCATGGTAGGAGTCCCACTGCTCAGGGTTTTCTTTTGCCGTGAATAACCAACTCCATCTTGCTCTGGAGATGGGTGCTGAGAAGCATCAGGTTTGTGACCTGCTGTGGGAATGCACTGCTGAACTTCCCCTCATCCTGTAAAGTGTGTTGTTTCCCAACTGCTAAACAGCAATTTTCCTCTTTGTTGCAGTGCATGAAAAAGTGGGTTGTGCTCCTCATGCTCTGTTCTGTATTCCTCTGTAAGAATTGTATGCTCCATCCAACCATAATAAAAAAAAGCAAAGGCTGATGGAACCCATATATGACAAGGGTACAGTGGATAATAATGACATGCACCAGATGATGTATTGCTGTGTAATGCTCTAGTTCTGGTGTCTGACCTAAGGCTTCTCTTTGAAGGGCCAGGAAAAAGGACCTGAGGCTCGCTCAGACAGCACGGCCCAAATAGGCTGCAGTATCTGAAATACTTTTAGAAAGCTGGGAAACAAGGCAGACAATGCCTGGATGCAGAGCAGGGTCACTGCATTTCCTTTGGTCCAACCCATCATGAGCAATGACTTCACCCATAGAATTAACAGAAATACTGTGGCTGTGTTTCTTCTTCTAATGCTGAAGTTGTGCTCTACCAGCTGTGCTATTAAATGCTGGCAGGTACGTTCAGGCTGTTGGATGGCTGCTTCTGAGATCTGAAAAACATCTATTATCTTTTGATTTTCCATTTTTTTTTTTAATTTTATTTTTTAGTTTTCTGTTAAGGATTAGGTTCACATAAAATTTGAAGAACAGAATAGAAACACAAGATTGAATATCCTGGTCAATTGTATCATATCTGCCTCCACAAATTACTGTCCTGGTCTAGCAGCCCTGCAGCCACGTTTGAAACATGAGTTGGACAGCTTTATGCTTTGGAAGTGCAGCACGTTTTGCTGTGCTGTTTTTAAGTCAGCTGAGGATTCAATCTGCAAAGCAGAACAACCATATCTCAGAACTGCCACTGTGTTTGCTCCGATAACCAGCACATTTGTAAACTTTTAGAACTGCTGTTCCCCTTGGTTTGAGAGTCAGGATATTGAGCATGTGATTGCTGTTAGCAGGGTACTGTAGTGTTAAGCATTTGAGAAAAGAACCTCACTGACCACAGAAGTGCTTCTCACTCCTGGCTTTGCATCTAGCAAGTGGCAAAGAGTACAATGGGGACAAGTCATACCAGGACCTCCCTGCCTGCATTCTGGCTCCAGCTGTGGCAGGTGATGCCATTTGGGAGCACACATAAACTTGGACAAAATCTGCAGTGCTCCCTTTGTGCTTTCCACATCCTCAGTGGAAGAACTAGGGATGTTAGAGGGCATGGTGCTGCCCAGCCCTGCTTTCCAGTTCCTTCTCCCAGCCCCTCAAACCTGAAGCAAGCTGGTCCTTCCCCTAGACCTTTACACTTTAATTCTTCTCTACCCTCTTTGCTACCTTCTTACTTTCCATGCTACAAAAACCAGAAGTGCTCATAGTATTCATGATGCAGGCACACAGTGGCTTTTATGGTACTCACCATCTTCTCATGAAGTGTCCTTCATGATGATGTTCAAAGTTTTCTTGGCTTTTTCGTGTGTCACAGCTGAGATACTGAGGTCAGGGAGTTGGTGGTGGTGAGGCCTAGCTGTAGTTGTCAGCTCCAGCCGGTGTCACATAGGCAGGTGTCATTTATTGCTCTGTAATTGGATTATACTACATCATCAAAGGTCACCTGCCCTTTTTTGCCCACCCAGTGTTATGAGGTCCTCCTGGAGTTCTTTGCTGTCAGTGCAGCACCTGAGTACCTCAAACAGTTGATTGATTTACTTTTGAAAGAAACAGATGGCATGGTGCTGTATCTAACATACACAGGGACTTCTCTGTTCATTGTGAGTCTGGAGGGTTACTATGTATTTGTTATGTGTTCTTTTTTAAACAGATTCATTGAACACCTGAAATGGATTATGACCAGGTTAATGGATCAAGTTATGGAAAGAAACTATACTCTGAAATGTAGAGGTGAAAAGAAGGACAAGGGGACAACGAGAAGAGTTGTTATCAGACCTTGTCAGCTGTGACTTTTTCCTCATGACCATTGCCTCGAGTGTGCACTACCTGCTGTGATTCATGTACAGTACTGAGCTTCCATAGGTAATTCGGGGATGGACTCTGTGAACAAATAATATAAGCTATGTTCTCTTATAAAGAAAATCAAGATATTACTCAGATTTGATAAACTTTTCAATAAACACCATTTCACCTGAATGGACACACTGTACATGCTGCTTAAGCAAGTTTTGCATTCACACATTGAAAACTCTACCAGCCAATAGCTCCACATCTGTGCTTTCTCAGGGGAACACATCCAGGAGTGCCACAAGGTTCTGTTCAGGGCAGTATTATGACAAGAAGTGCACTAGTAAGAGACTTTATTTAAATTGCAAGCTTTGAAACAGATCAGAGACTGAATTTTGTTAGGTGGATTCATTATCTAACACAAGGTAATTTGCAGATTAAGCTCATGTTCCTATGTACAGATCTGAAAGCAATACAATAAAGACTGACCTTTTCCATGAAAGAGTAAGGAGTCATTTGTTGGAGTTGTTCTTTTTCCATTTGAACAGACAATAATGTGAATATGCTTTTCATGCTAAAACAGTTCCTTATTATTGAGATGGCCAGCATACAGAAAGTCCTTCTGCATGGAAAATTCCTTCAAAAAATAGACCTGAATTGAAATATCAGGAACCTCATAATATACTGGGGGGAAAAAAAAGCTATTATGCTGGTTTTATCTTACTACATATCTTTCAAGGTTGAGTTTTCATAACAGTGCAGTTGCTAAGCCAAGTTGATGTATCAAGAACTTTTCTGAATTTTCATGTAGGCACCTGTGTAAAAAACAGACAAGTCTAAAGACTTGTGAAGTTTGTGTTTGTGTGCCCATTTGGGACTAACACAAGGAATACTGGATTTTGCTACCAAAGGCAGCATGCCTGCTGGTTGTATAGTTAGGACTTCTATATTGTCCAGAAATAGCTTACACCAATTATTCAGGGTCACATGTATGCCATTTTAAGGACATGGTTTAGTTTGTCATTATAGGTTCTACAGCATCTGCTGCTTGGTAATCGTTGTCTGCAGTGGGTTTGTGCGACGTGACTCACAGAGTAAGGAATGCAATTTCCACCAAGTAATTCACCTTGGAGATTCTGAACTGAAGATCAAGATTTCCGATTTCTCAGAACAGCTCAACATTGGATGTTTTGATGATGGGGAAAGTGCTCAGATTGCAAGTAGATCTGATAGGCATCATAAAACAAGCCTTAGCATTTTAGCAAGGTTTCAGATCTAACAAAAAGAATTTGGGCACAAAAAGACAAGATACGTGATGACTGGACGATGGACTTGGGGTCCCTTCCAATCCAAGCCATTCTATGATTTTTTTCTGTTATCAGCAGGCAGCTTCAGACAGCACTTTTATACCTCCTACCTGTGGATGCACAGTTTACCAGTTGACTTCGCAAGATCCCACAGCCTGTTCAGAAAGCATTATTTCTCCATTTCCAGACCACCGTACTGCTAAATGCCAGCAGGACTGTGCTGTCTGCCTTGCACACTGCCTGCCATTACCATGGAATAGGAGAACCCTCAGCTTGTCACCACGTTCAGCAGTGGTTTCCCAGTTTTCCACAGAGAAAAATGGAAGTGATTTTCAATGAGTACTGCAAGCTACTGTAAAAAGGAATACTCACTTTTATTAATACTTTCCAAAAAGATGTATAAAGATGACCAAAACACTGCATCACAATTTACAATCTACATTATAAGCATACATCTCCCTCTAAGAGAACAGTAGAATACCCAACACTGTTTTAGCAGTACAGAGTGCTGTAACATTCAGCTGCCTCCCTAATAGTTAGCATATTCTTAGATTCAGTCACAGCCTGAATCTAAGGCTGGCTGCAGAATATATCCCTAAAGGGGCATTTGTCATCCTAAGTGTGGTCCAAGGAAGCCGAGAGGAGTGCTCACTGTAGCTCTGTGTGGCTGGAGTGCAGTAGGCTGATGGGAATGTCACACTGAATTTAGCTCAAGCTACTTCCCATTCAAGCAGCTTAAAGAGAGGAACATAAATGAGATTTTTCCACACCTCTGGCTAGAATTTGAAGACTGAAGGAAATATTGAAGGAAAATATAATTTTCTGGTTAAAATCGCATTCTCCATAGTGTTTTTTACCTTGCTTTCCTGTACTATTACTTCTATATGCTAGGTCTGGATCCTGACTTTTTTTGAACAGAAACAATAAATTAGAAGACCTTCCTTCCTTCTTTCTTTAAATTGTCAAGATTCTGCAGGTGCAGAAACGTAAGTGGAAACATAGAAATTGCTGGAAGGAACAAAGATTGAGGTTCTGAACTGTTTAAGTTGGGGATATTTTCAAACAAAGTAACAAAATATTTGGAAGGTGAGTTGAGAGATGCTCCTTTGCAAAGATCTTTGATCAGTGTTGTCAATGCTTCCTTGCAAAAGAGACTTAAAGGAGGCTGCTGAGCAAGTCAGCAAAATGAGGTACACAGCCCTCCCTTCCCAATCTGTAGCATACTGAATGCTAGCTTCTACCATCCAACTTGTCTCCAGCTTGCATCTAGACATGCAGGGAGCTAGTCCTGACAATTGCCTCCGTACAATTATTATTTTTTTCTGTGTTCAGAGGGCTGAAGTGCAAGAAAAGGAGACTACTGTTTTGCCATTGCTTTCAGCAGGACCAGGATTTGGCTCACATAACACTGAGGCCAGCAAAACAGATCCATGTTAATTCTTTGAAATATGTGATTTCCTGTCATTGCCTAATTCTTCTTAACTCTGTAGAAGCAGACCACATCAAGAATACAAAGTAGTGATTTCATTTTCAAGTATAAAATAGATTTAGTATCACACTTGCAGGTGACAATTCAATCTCAATTCAAATATATGAATGAGAAGAAAAATTGGTTTCAGAAGTCCAGTTTTTGTTTTCAGTTCCTCAGAATTTCATCCACAAATACTTCAGCTGACACTTTACAACCCAGAATCTCTTTTTGTAATAGCTCGCATTGAGTGAAATCTTTCACAAAAAAATAGAAAAAAAACTCACGCTTGTAAAGTTTCCATTTGTGACAGAGTAAAAAACTTTAAGCAATGTCACTCTGAAGATTTTTGTGCACTAGGCTGGAGCTGTTTGTATATAATTGGATTTCTGTCACATCATCAGAAAAATCCATGATACTTTTTCAGTTTTAATTCATCTCTCTTCTCCCTCCAATCTTTTTGAAGGAATCTGTAACAAGACAGTTATTTGATAAAAAATATCTTTCTTAAGAGAGCATTGATAATGAGCATGAAGAAAAGAGCCACTTCTAGATTCCCAAGGACAACATTACAATTTCAGACTGTTTTTCAGTCTGGTTGTTCTTATGTTTCTGACCCAAACACTTCCATTTAGTCCAGACTTACAGATGAAAACTCCAACTTTGGTAGTCCAAAATCAAAACAACCTTAATTGTGTTTATCAGTGGCACCACAAACAATTAGTTTTCATCTCTCATGACTTCAGATGTTGCAGGTGCAGCAGCTTATAGCGTACGCTTCGATGAATCGATAGAATTTCCTACTGTCAATAAGCTGGTGACTCCTGTTCACTTTTAATAGTGAAAGTTATCCAATTGTTCTTCTGTGAAATGTGTTACTTAACTGTTCATCAATTCATTGGAGACGCAACTGAGTTTTTAAAAAGCACTTTAAATGACCTCTTAAAAATGTGAACTCCATCATTCACCCACTTCAAGCATCACCCAGAAGGTTCAGTGTGACTTTTTTCATGTTGCCACCATCACAAAAGTTGGCATTTAATTCCTGCTGTGTAAAGTGGTAAGATAGGAAAACAACGAAGAGACCTTCCCCTCTTCTTTATGTTACCTGTGAAACAATGGAAACAGGATATTAGATGAAAGCACATCAGCTTAATCACCATTAACATTGCCAAGACTGCAGATATGAGCTCTGAAGAAACATGACAGTGGTCAGCAAGTGCTGGATGTTTCCAAATGGGAGACAGGATCCAGACTTCCTAATGCTGCCAATCCTCAGTGCTAATGAAGATAAAAGATCCCTCACATGCTCAGATACTGCACTAATGTGGTAACCTGTGCCACAAAAATGCACTACAAACACAAGAGAACGGTTGTGGAGAGAGATGGAGGAGTTAGAGAAAACTTTGCCCTGATGAGGCTTCCCAGCAGTGTTGTGATCCTTAATGTCTTCTCTCCCAAGTAGGTATGATTTTTCAACATGACAAAGCATTGGTATTTTGTTGTGCTGTCAGCTATTAATCATCACTACAGCTTTTCTGTTCTGCTAGTCTGTGAAGCTGGCATGGCACCTGTGTTTTCCAAAACCTGTAGCCTGATGAGAGCTATAAAAATAGCTAAATCTGCATGTGGTGATTAGTGCACTGAGAGCAAGTGTCATACAAAACTTTGGTGATCCTGCATGGCTTCAGGGCGAAAGGCAACTGCGGGACTATTCAGAACAGCTGCTTAAGCAGCTGGCAACCACTCTGCAACGTGATGTTAGCCATTTGAAAGAAAACTGAAGAGTCTGTTGTCTGACTTGATTCTGACTTCTTGGTCCTTGCAGAGATCATTTCACTGATTCATTCTGCATTATTATTATTATTATTATTATTATTCCACAAGAGCAGGAGGAAGCACGTAGTGGAAAACAAGGAGTAGAAATCCGAACTGCAATCATAACTTCCCATAACTGCCTGCTGCAGCTCCATCAGGCCAGTGATGTCAAGGCAGTCAAATCCTGGAAATCATCAGCAAGCTGTTCTTTGCTAAGGATGTAATTATTTCAAGGATCCTTGAGGCTGTGCAGGCAGAGTCAATGAAGTGAAAGTGGCAGCCAGTGGAGTGGGCAAACTGCACAAAATGTACTGACAAAGAGCAATGTAGGAATGAATGGTTTGTTCTGAGTACAGTACAGGCACAGGTTCATAGGAAGACAAAACAGCTGTGGTGGATTTGTATTAAGCAAAGGAGAAGTGAAGTGACTTACTACAATAAAAAACAGCACAAAACCATCTCTAAAGAGTACAGAACTCATAAGAAGAACTCAGAACTATTTAGTTTTGTGCAACTGAACACAGGAGGTTTGCAGGCCTGTTGCCAGGCACTGAACTGGGCTGAATCAGGAGCCTCTGATGAAGTTCATTCTTACAGCTCTTGCAGTCTGCTAGCACTGGCATTAGGGAAAAGAGGGGATCAAGATGAACGGGCAAAAGGGGATCTGTTGTGATACTGATCTGTGCCAGCATGTCTTTATGTAGCCACATACACATAGATGCTGCTACTGTGCCTGCTGTCAGTGAGATCTGTGAGAAATCTGCCACAAAACCAAATCTGGCTGTCTCAAGGAGCCAGGATTTACGTTACCTTTATAGGATCATCTGAACCTACACACTGATCCTAGAGTCCAGCTGCTGAAGGTGTTCAAGAACTCCATATGGAATTGTAGGATTCCACATCCTGTAAGAGCAAGTTAATAAAAAAAAAAAAAAAAGATTTAAAATGTAATTCATTCCACAGTTTTTTGGGGGTTTTATTTCTGTCATATATATACATATATATACATATATATACATATATATTGTTGTTAGAGGTAATGGAGTTTTGCTTTGGCTTGTCTTTCCCTCCCCTCTCCCACCTCCAAATCATTCTGTAGCATAATTTAAGCTGAGGAACAAAGGAAAATACATTTTCATTCCAAAGCAAGCAGTCCACTCCCCCATTCCACAGCTGACTCTGATTATAGGACACACCACAGTCCTGTCTCCCTAATTGTTCTTTAGTTTCCCATCAAACCCCCTTTGAACATGCACTGGCAGCTTCAGTCTATTTAACCTCTAATGATGGCTGTTCACTGTTTATCCTTCAAATACAAGTCCTGCAGCACAGGTGTCAGGTGCACTGGAAGGGTAGGAGATAAACAGTGGAGTGCCAACTGTGCTTAAAGCAGAACAAGCTTGCTTGCCTGTGGCAATGGGGACTTAAAGCTGCTGAAACCAGCGATTCATTTTTAGCATTTGTGTGACTGTTTCTGTATTTCAGGGATTTCTTTTAGTGCCTCTTACAAATCTGACAAATACCTTAGATAGCATTAGCATGAGTTCTCACCAGATTTACAGACTGAAGACACAGCAAACAATTTAGCAGGAGACTTACACCAAATTTTTTATATGGGGACATTTTCTTAGGCTGTCAGTCAGCTGTTGGGCTCCAACACCAGTTATTTTGTTATACTGAATGCTGAGGGGGAAAAAAAAAAAAAGCAACAAACATCTTGTTAATTTGGGTCAGATCATGTAGCAGTACCATCAAACATTTCATTCAAAAATAAAAATACTACAGGAGTATCTGTGGATGAGGGGAAAAAAAGAAAATAAATCCATGATTCAAAAAACAAACCAAAATCATTTATTACCAAGTATCTAAAGAACTAGAAAGTTACATCTCTTGTGGTGGCCTCAAGTGGTTCCACAGCATCTGTGATGAACTACTTGTTAAGCCCTGACTATCTGTACTCCAATTATGTGCTTTTCCCCTTCACATGAGGCTGGGAGTGACACACAGCTGTTCTACAAGGATAAGCAGCAACAAGGGAAGTCTTCAGCATTTCCTAGAACCACATCAAGAATTTCCTTCTGCACTCCACATTTTCAGGCAAATTCCACAATTTTCTGTCTCAACAAATGTCAGCCTCTAAGGATAGCATAACCACACTAAAAAAGATTTTTCCCCTCAAATTCTGTCTCTTTTGCCTATAGCTTGAAGATCTGAATTTTCAGTATCCACACAAATCAGCTCTCCTGGGCCGTTTCAATAGATTCCATACTCACTCCAGCACTCTTAAAGAAGCCATTGCAGGAAGGACTTTTGCAAGGTTTTCCGCTCCAAAATCACAAATGCTGTTGTTGTATAAGCTGCAGACAACAAAACTGATATAGTCATAATTGAATAATGGTCAGTGTCAACAGACTCTGTATTAGATCAAAGAATTCTAGGTATGACTGGTACGCCCAAGTTATCCTTATCTAATTGCAGTTAATCTTTAAAACATATCCACATTTTCTATATCAAGGCACATGGTCATATATATCCTCCAGCCTACACAGCTACAGCAAAAACAGATCTAGGTTTTTTAATGAATAAGGAGAAATTCCTGACACATTGGAGGAAATTAAAAATCTGCAAGAAAATAAGGATCAAAGCTATGGCACACTGCATTCAGAAGATTTCCACATGAGCAAACCATTCCAGAATTGCAGACCAGTTTCCTACATTCCTGTGACACTTCATTCAGGCCTATGCCAGATATTTTATGGGATGGACCATTAGTCCCCTATCTGCAAACACACACTACCCTGCTGGCTTAACAAGCTCTGCATAAGTTTGCACTATACCATGATTATAGGTGTGTATTTGTATAAGGCATTATTGATTACCAGGTATTATGAATTGGCTTTACAAACCAGCACAGTTCTTGTTACATTCCTGAGATACGCTTCTGTATATTTACACAGAGCCAAACATTTACCTTCTCCCTGCATACTTTGTGCAAGAAAGAAATCAAAAGTCTGTCTATTGAAAATTTCTTCTCTTTACAGTAATTTCTGACAGATACAGGAATGTTGTATATAGCAACCCAACAGGACACAACCACCTACCTTAGTGTTGTTAATGAAGACAAGGAGGGAAGAGCTGTAGCTAGTTTCTCTGCACCCACATCTGTTATCTTATTCTGTGACAAGCTACAGTAAATGAAATTGCTTTGTTAGCTGCACACATTTATTCTAATTGATTACAATGTGTAACAAATTGATTTTGTCCTGAAAAACAAATGTGATGCTACAAAGCCTCAAGTCACCATTAACCCGAGAGCTTTGCTCAAAAACTGAAATAAGACTGAATTTCAAGAATCTTTTCTTACAAACAAGATTATCCTCTTGGTTAAATTTGGCAACTTGCTGAAAAATGAAGAGTAGTAACTTGTGTTTTCAATCAAAAAAAAAAAAAAAAGAAAAAAGAAAAAGAAAACCCACACATTCACACTGGGAAACCTAATGGCTTCAGAAGACTGTGAAATTGGATGGTTTCAAGGGCAGAAAGTTGAAAAGGAGGGAAAGATAACAGCAAACTGCATTTTCCCACTGAAAAATTCAGTCCTCTGAAGCATCAGCAGAAGGGAATCTTGATTGTGTGAGGTGGTGATTGGAACTGGCAACTTGTTTCTCTCCTACTCCCTCATTGAAGTCAGAAGCAGCAAGGTAAACTCCCCTTGAATCTTAACTTCACTCTGCTTCCTTTATTTCCTCCTGTGGCCCTGAGAATATGTCTGCCTTGGCCTGGCCTTCATCTTTATTGATGATATTCCCTGCATTGCTTTAATTTTTGAGGTAGCTCTGGCAGAAAAATTTCAATAATTCATATGCACCCTATCTTTTATTTTTTAATGCAATTTACACGTTGCGTTCGAAAGAAAAAGACAAATTATAAACCTTGGGAGGAAACAAGGAATTGCCACAGGATTAAACTATTTCTCTAATGAATATGCAGATTAAATATGTCCATACATTAATTGCTCTATTGTGCCCATGAGTTAGTCTTGCCTGTAACTGCTAACACACAGTCTCTAGGCCTCTTAAGGTTTAATCTACTTCTTTTAAAAAATTTCCAAATTGTTAACCTTGAAACTTACTTTAATGTTTCCAGTGATGTCAGTGTTGGAAAGACTTCAGACAGACTCTTTGCTCCTTCATCTCCTATGCCATTTTCACTCAGAGCATCAAGGCTGGATAAGGACAAAAAGGGAGAATTAGCTTTCCTTTTAATATGAATTGTTATGGTTTATTCACCTTAGAGACCGTTCTGTATGACTTGAGAACCTGCATCTGAGCACTGGCCTCAATCAGCAAGAACCATCACACAGCTTCTCTAATAAATTGCTTCCTGCTTTTCAAACCTACAGCCTAGTTGAATGGCTTGACCCGTTTCCTTTGATATGCAAATGGTAGCACTTAATGCCTTACTTCCACCATATGCTGAGGATTATTAAAATGGTTTTGAAATAGCTCTGTTCCAGCTGTGTTGGAATGAGATTTCCTGTGCACATAGAAACACAAAACTGATAAAATACAGCAGAAGCCACGAATTTCTACCTAAACAGCAACTCTACCAGGTAGGGAACATTAGAGGTTTTTCCTCATTTAGGTATCCAGGTGGAAGAATTTTAGATAATCATAATTTCAGGCATTGGATCACCTTCTAATCTGACAGACAACACTAGGATACATTGGGCTTGTTTCAATTTCAGAGCCCTTGTGTTTTCTTAAAATATCATAAAAAAATACAGAGAAATGGCTTATGGGCTGAACCACTGACTAACAGCACTCTCAAAACCCAGTAATCTTCCCTCAGTCAGGATACCAAAAATTGACTATAGTTGCTACCATTGTTTCTAATGTAAAGCAGCTTAAAATTCAGAGACAACTTGTTTGTCGTAAAAGAGAATTAGTAGCAACTGGAATTCTTAAAACTTTATTTCTAAAGTTGCCCCTGGTAAAGAAAAGAACAAAGACAGCATGAAGATGCATGGGCAGAATTAAACCAGATACTAGCTGAGTATGTCTTTTTAATGTCTTTTACAGAGCCTGTAAGGAGAAATAAAAAACACATGGGCAAGCAGCAGGGCACTGTAAGTAACCTCATCAGCTTTTAATCACTGGGAAATACCTAGACAGGTGATAGTAGGGCTATTGAATGAGCCACTACTGAGTGCTCTAATATTGCTGAAGGGCCTCAGTTCACATTTTGTTGTTATATTCACTGAATGCTTTTGTTGTTCAGTTTGTTCATCAAAATGAGTAGTCCTGTTGAAAATAAAGGGTTTCTTGGATAAACAACCTCCCTTCTCATCATGGGCTGCTAAGGTGTAGGTTAATCTTTAGCTTTACTCACTCTAAATGCTGCAGTGATGGAAATGCTGCAAGAATTTCCACGAGTTTTAGGAATCCCTGAAGGCCATGTGCTGGACCCAGACTGGAGGAAAATAAACAGATGTAGACATGCAGCAGTTGATTCATGGTCAGAAAAGAAACAGCAGAAAGTATAAATTTGTTAAGTAAGCTCTTTCTCTACAGCCCCAGATGCCAGACAGTTCACCTTCCTCAGAAGCAACCATTCCCTACAGTCTGCAGGGAGTATTTCTGCTCCAAAGCCTCCAGATACAGACCAACAAAGTCAAAGTCAGACAGAGCAGAGTTGTTCGTACAGAGGAGGTTTGATTAGAAGCAGTATCTGCATTTGCCATTTTTTATATTCTTTGAAGACTCTCAATTGGTTTAGATTCGTCTATTTCTATTCTTTTTCTGTTTCTGCAGAAACATTTTAATTATTGTAATCTTGATAACAGAGAAGTAAAAAACATTCTCAATTTTTTTTCCAGTTATTGGCAATTCAAACTAACTTAAGATCAACATTCTACTGCAGCTTAAGGCATAAACAGAACTATAGTATTCCAGCTCTAGGCATCTGCTCATCAAATTTGTCCCTCAGATGCTAATCTCATTTGGAATTCCTTTTGCATCAGAACAAGATCAGCCTAATTAAAAGGCATGGAGTTTTAACCAGAGATTTAAAATTAAATGAAAGTAGGAAAGGTTCTTCCTTTCTCTACTTCCTTCTGAGTAGAGAAAGAAGCATAAAATCAGAAGTGAGGCCAAGCGTTATAGTTCTGAACTAGGTCAGATATGCAGAACAAGAAATAGATGAAGACCTGGTGAGAGTTCTCTACTGCATTGGTGAAAGTTCTTCCCAAATTCCTTAACACAGGATACTTTTAAGTAGTAGAAGGGAGAAATGTCTACATTTGTAAGCTGTTTTACAGTCAGAAAAACATAAGGGTTAATAAACCTCATTTTTCAAGACAACGTTTCCAAGTGAATCTTCCCCCTTCCAGGAAAACTGTACTATGTACTTAATTTGGAAGGCATTCTCTGACCTTTTCCTCTCACAGCTTAAGCTTAGATGGGCAGAAGATTCAGATAGAGCAGCTGAATATTTTTGGCGAAAAATTATTTCATGAGCATTTAGATCACAATTTTGCATTTTGCATACTGACGTGACATCTGCATCTGATTATAAAGAGCTAAATTTTGGTAAAATCAAACAAAATTGATAGAACCACATTGATATGAATCACTGCAGTATCCAGAAATAACATTTATTTTTGGTAGGTGGATGTGAATTACAGAGTGTAGTTAATATGAGCAAAATGTAAATAAATGGGTTTTACTTAATGCTTTACCATAAACTGAATACACACTGTAGACAATCTCTATGACAGTCCTAGATGTAATCAGATATCAGTCAGCAGAGAAGCATTGCACTTACGCAAATTCTAGTTTTCTCAGGTTTTTTACGGCAGGAATTTCATAGCTGCTGCAACCAGAGGCATCTTGCACACTAAATAAATCACATTAGAATAAGAGCATGAGAAACGTTTTTTAAAAGCACATTTAAAGCACCAAAATAGTGCTTTAAAAAGAATTTTAGAGGGATCTTGATCATGAACAAGCTTACCAATTGATTATTATCTCCTGCATTTCTACAAGGTCAGAAAGGTCACTGATGTCTTTCATTGTTTTTGCCTTAAAGGGATCAAGAACAAATTTTTCTGTAGACACTCTCAGCAGTTCATAGTCTTTTGTCTGTTCTAAATATTTCCATAGCTTGATTGTATCACTGAGGGAGGCCCTGTGAAGTGATAAAACATGTGAAATCAACAGATGTAACTGCTGTTTCATGAAAGGGTCATCTACACACAGCTTTATGAATGACACTTGCTATTTACACAGAATGACCAACCTGAATGATGTCACATTCTTCAGGCCAACCAAGTCTTTCAGCCCATGCGTGTCAATACTGCTGTTCTGCAAATCCAAGGAAAATTCTTTTCTTGACCTTTTTAAAGTAGAGGACAGTACATGGACATCAGGTGGTGTAAGAACAACGCCCAGAAAGGACAGATCTGGTTTGAGCCTTAAGGCCACGTGCTGCAGGAGATAATTGTTTTGTGTTTCATAAATACAGTGCAAAAGCTCAAGTAACCTCTCTGGACAGAGGTTGTTTATTTGCAATCTTTTAATATATTTCAGGAGCATTTTCTGCTTCTTGGTTGATTTTTTTACACCCTTGTTTGAAGAGCAGAAGTAGGTGTCATCCTGGAGGAATAACAATCCAGCCAAAAATCGAGGCACTAAATGTAACCAGTTATAAGGTTTCTTCTTTTTGGATGGAAAAGACAGATACTTTATTAGACTTTTGTCCTTGATGCCTTCTGCTAATATAAGGTGAAGTGCACCCAAGAAATTCTGAATGACAAAATCGGAGAACATGGTCCCATATTCCTCTTCTCCTGTACCTGAATGTTTGGGGAATGCAAATGGCAGGAAAAATCCATTTTTCAGAGCAAACTCTTTAACTTTCTTAGAAGGAAGAAGGTCACTTTTCATGGCACTTTGGTGCTTTTCTCCAAGATACCAGGCTATACAGGCTAGCGTAGCAAGATTCTCTTGGTTTTGTGCAAGTGTAACATCTGTAACATCTGTTTGCGTAGGCATTATTTTTTGCTGAACAAATTTCAGGAAGAGTGTAGTAAGAGTTGAAGGAAGGCCTTGGTCTCCCATTTCAAGTACTGCCTCGCAGAGAAAACAAACAAATCTACACATAACAGGGCTGTAACAATAACTGTAGAGGTACTCACGCTCTTTGATTAAATTCAGTGCATTACTGCACGAGGGTAATCCTTCAAAGTATTTGGTTACGTACAGTTCTCTCTGCCGAGGGGAGAATCCTACTATTTCAATAGTCTTATCCACTTTGGACACATACTGGCACACCTTTTCTTTTGTTCTTGCTGTAAGTAATAAAGTACAGCCATTGAGTATCTTCTTTTGGATGAGTCCCGAGAGCAGCTCCTTCATGCGGCACAAGTCTTTGTTAGGCTGGCTGGCTGAACAATGAGGAAAATTCTCATGGCCATGCAACCCTTCCAAACCATCAAAAACCAGAAGGACTTTAGTAGAATTTTGAAGTATATACTCGAAGATCTCTTTGCTTCCCTCCTGAGGTTTTACAAAAAAATCAAGAAGCAGATCTTTCAAGCTGTACCACTTCTCAGGCAAGCTTATTTGTTTGCAGTCAAACCAAAAGACAAATTCAAACTGAGGAAACTCTCCGTTGGACCAGTCCTGGCAGATCTTCTGAGCAAGAATGCTTTTGCCCATTCCTGCCTTTCCCAGCACCACAATCACTTTAGTCTCTAACTCTTTACCACCTGGGATTTGAAATATTTGGCTTCTTTCAAGGATTGCCTTTTCCTTCCCTTGCTGACTGTAAGTTACCGAATCCTTTTCCACTGATTTTACACTGTTCTTCCCAGGCTTGGTTTCAATTTGGCTTTGCCTAAGTGTACCATCAATATACATGTGATCAAGGGACATTTCACGCTCCACAGACACAGATTTGCATACGTCTCGGAAGTAATCCATAAGTGATGTACAGAAAGCTTCCACTGACCCTAGAGAAAAAACACATATGCAAACTGAAGAAATCAGTCCAAAAATGACAATGCTGCTTCAGGGTGCTTTAAGCACATGACTGTAATATGCTCAAAATACATCAGTTCCCATAAAGCATGTAGGCTTGAATTTATCTAGTTCCAGTTACTTCAGTTAAGACTGCAGTAATGACAAACACCTTTACACTAAGAGCTCAATCATTCTGAAGATATCTATGAATGTGACAAAACAGCTAAGGACATTGATTTCCCGGGTAGCTTATATAGCTAGATGTCCAAAAATGTACAAGTCTAAGATCTTAAAAGCAGAACTTTAGCTCAAGACAGTTGGAACAACTTAACAAATTGTTGAGAATGACAATTCCTAAAACAAGGCTCTATTCTGCAAAGAAGGGAAAACAGCAAATTGTGGAAGTTTCAACATATAAACTCACTTGGTCTTCTTGAAGTTTCTTCAGAAAAAAGTACTGGAACTTGGACTTCTTTGAACATTTCTAAGCCTGAAATGTGACAATATACTTGAGAAAGATATCCAAATGGTTGCTGATTCAGCTTTACTAATTTTAACAGGAAAACAAATCCAAATGTTCAAGTTCATTGCAACATAAAACATGTACTGTCAGGAAAATATTATCATTGATTTTACACAAGAAAAGGGAGATAAAAGCTCACAGTATTACATGTGAGCTGATGTGAACCAAGGCAGCACGACACTCAAAAAGATGACAGCTGTTCCAACAGTGTGAAGTCATATCATAACAAGGTGGCATCCAATGTTTTTTTTTCAAATGGCAGTGTGCAAAAATTCACATTCACACATAGGAATGGTTTATCTCATCAAAAGTAAAAGCAGTATACAACACTTACATGTATTTCCCCAAAACTAGGAGTGTTTGCCTATTAATTCCCAGTTCAAAATTGTGCGTCTGTGGGCTGGGTTAGCCACCAGAGGGCAACAAAACACCTGCACTAACCTGCGAGCAGCTGTAACTGCCAGATTACGTAGAGACGGGAAGGGGAGGAACTGCTGAAAACAAATCTCCCTGCACTCTGAGAGTTGGAAGAAAAGTGCAGAGGAAAGTCTGCTATCCCAGCTGGGACTGTTTACAGCTTGAAAAAGACTCTGATATTTATAAGCACTTCTGTATACTATGCATCTGTATTGTTTCGTTAAATAAGACTATGGTTTTATGGCTCCTATAGAAGCTGACTGCAGCATATGGTTTCCAGCACAGAGCATTTAAAATGCTCAGGCAAAAAGACAGTAATGGGACAGCCTCCTGCTCTGATAGTGCTCAAACACAGGGGGGTTTTGTAAAGGTTTTAACTAGATAAGATTTTCCTTTGTAGCAAACTGATTTTTTTTATAATTGACCCAGTAGCTGTACAAGACCTTACCTGCCTCATTCTTTGGACTAGACTAAGCAGCAAGTCATCAGTATAAAGCATGAAATGCCACTATTTTTTCTTTTCTTGAATGAGGTCAACTTTAGTTAAACCAGCAGAGGTGAACTGGCTTTGAATAGAAGGGAGTGTTCCCTCCCTGATCCAAAGTAATGTACATATTCAAATTGATGATATACTTACCATTTAAATTAACTTGAAAACTTGGGGATACCATTAATTCAGTGGAGGAAGTCAGTGCTGGCAAGAAACAAATGAGAGTTTTCAGTGTATTGCAGCTATTAGTGACTGAAATGAGGGAGTCTTGTACTTGGTAACAGCATTGACTTTCCAGTACTTTCTGACTATTTATGTGGATAAAAGATTATAGTTCTTACCTGGATATTTTGTAGCATTAGATGGGCCATTTCCAAGAAAATAATTAATTTTCTGCTGAGCAGGATCCACAAAGTCTATATTCTCTCTGTTGTCTCTCATGCCAAGTGGCAGACTTTCTGGAATCAAAGGTACTGAAGATCCTGAAACAGCATAATCATTACTCTCCTGTTTTCAGAGTCTTCCTATCTCAGAAAGTTTCTAAAAACAAAAACTAAATAGCCTTCTTAGAGATAATTATCTTTTCTCGTACTTTCTGGGCAAATACTTCCAGCAGAGACCTTATGATACAAAACTGCATGACTTTATGGTTTTTTTTTAAAGTTTATGGGATCACATGAAGGACATAGAACCCATCAGAATAAACGCTTAAAAGGTGTGATTATTGGAAAACACAGGGGATTACCCAGTGTTTAGTGACCCTTGTGTCTTGACATTCAAAAGACAAAGTCTATTACTATTAAGGCAACATACTCAGGGCAGAGACCATAGATGTACAGACCACAGATCAAGAAGAGAGAAATGTATCGATACTACATATCTGAACAGATGCTTACCCTCCTGTGCACAGAACTGCATAAAACAGCTGTACAAGCAGCTAGTGAGCATTCTCCCTCTGATCTTAGACCGGGAATTTTTTGTTGATGGGGTGTTTGTAAGTCAGTCATACACAGCCCCGAGTTTCTGTGGTGTGACAGAATTTCTTCCACTACTTTGTGCTGTTTCACCTAGCTTCACAGAGACACTCCCAGACTTCCAACTTACACAAAGCTTTTGGATTCATTTCCACCAGAGGTTTAACAGCAAGAGGTATTAGATTGTGAGTCTCTGTCATTAGCACTTGCCAGTGGAGCCTGCACACCTTCTGTTATATACAACATGGTCAAATCAAAGTAACTACTGAGCCCATCACTTGAATAAGTATTCACTTTTTGTGAAAAAATTCCACACTAGATTTTGGTCTGCTATTGCAAAGACACAAATAGCATGTATTACTTCAAATACAGTTATCTAGCAGCCCTTTACAAACACCTGGATGAGAAAGAAATTAGAAGAAAAGTTTATTCTAGAAAATTTAGTTATTTCCTATTCTTTTAAGACCAGTGGTTAATTGTTTATATTAAATAACTCTGATTTCTTGTTTATTAACCTGCACTTCACCAATTAAACCGAAGATTCATTCTATTCATTTAGGGGGAAAGTACTTTCAATTTATCTTGAACATTTTCATTCTGTTAGTGAGTGTCTCAATTTTAAGTCTTGGACTGAAGTGGCTGTTAAATTGTTTTCCCCACTACTGTTCATGGTCAATGGCCAAACTTACAAGATGCAATAAAACATCCAGCGTAAGAATGCACAGCTACAGCTGTATGGTACATACCAGGAATTACAAAATTTCCCAGTGGATTGATAGTGGGAACAGGAAAGGACATGTGCTGGTGAGTTAGTGGGGTGCAGTCAGATGAATGGCTGTTGAGAGACATTGTAAGGAAACATCCATTCCCTGTTGATACTGCAGGGGCATCCACTTAAAAATAAGAAGAAAAATGAGACAAAAGCAAAAGGAGAAAGTTACTTCATTGTTAGAAGCTGAGGGGCCATAGAAGAGGTATCAATAGATATCATAAAAACACGATTCTTATTAGTTGAGTTGTGAAAAAAAAAAAAAAGAAAAGAAAGAAAATTAATAACTTTCTAAAATTTACTCTGCAAAATCTAAAGAGTAAATGAAATTCTTCATCTTTCCTGGCCTGTCTTCTTTCTAGAAACCTTCAGATGTGTTTAGATGCAAACATTCCTACACATCGGTGACTGATAGATAAGCCTCAACAAGATATTAAATTGGCTTCAAGGGCACAGTCTGTCCCTTAATACTGCATGAGATGAGAGAGGTCTAGGTACAATAAACCTCATTTACTTACGCCTGTGACACACATTTATCCTACAGCCAGGTAAGAACATGAGAACTGCTTTGTCCTTGGAAACAAGTTATAGCCTGCTTGCTGGATGCTGATACTACCTTGTAGATGGTCTGACAACCTAGAAATGTTGCTTTTTTTTTTTTTTTTTACTTTGGTGTAAAGGACTGTAGAGTATGGGCTGGGCCAAGAAGCAGTCTCTTCACTGTTATTTTTACTAGGATGTTTCACTGGATTTTTGTAAAGTGTCACACTTAGGCACAGTTTGGCATTTCCTGGTATTGATCCTCTTTTTTTCAGAGTCACATAACACATCATATATAAAAGATATACATGAAAAAGGTTACAAAGTTTGTCACTGTTCCAGTTCTCCACTGGCCTTCTTTATGCCCTCAAGTGAGTTTAGAAAAGTTCAACTGTGCCTCTCTAGACACAGACAAAGTCATTTTTCTATCACGAATTGGACAGCTGCATAGTAAGAAGCATGTGATTCTACAGCAGTTTCTACTCTACTGGAAGCACTGAAGTATGAAAATGCACCACTATGCTAAGCATCAAATCTATGACAGCAGATCTTCTTTGCAAGGCAGTTACATCTAACACAGGATGGCAGTATGGAACATGAGGCAATGTACAGTCAATAATCTTTTTGTATTCAGCCAGTATCTTACCAATTTTCTTGTATTTAGGTTCTGAAGCATCAGAGAAATTCTCTGCAGAGCCTAAAAAGGCTGAAAGAAAGAAAGGTGACAGTAAATGACAGAAAGAGAATTCAGTTTGTTGATTTTGTGTTTCCATTGTAGAAACTTATTTTACACTTTAAAGTAAAAGAGGATGATAACAATTTCAATTCAGCTACTTCAGAACTGCACGAGTCAGATACATTAAACATGAATGTGAATAGTCTCATATTAGTTTACTGTGATCCTGAAATTTGAACTCGGCTATAGATTATTTTTTTTTCCATAAATAATGTAGCTTTGCTGTTTTTCTTGCTGTTAAAAAGTGAATAGTTGAACTAATGCTTGCTAAGCTGTAGCAACTTTGTTGCTAACTGCAAACAAAGTTAACACTCTCACATGGATAACAACAACAAAAAAAAAAGTTAGGGGGGAAGGAATATAACATGCTTAATGTCACATTACAGGAAAACAAATTCTGCAAATTGTGAAGAACATGCTGGGGGGAGTTTTCACTTAATGTCCATACAGGATAGGAAAAGTCAGGGGAAGCACATCTGCTTGTGTCACTGAAGAACTACATGAAATGCACTGAGGCTGCATATAAAACCAAAGAACTCTAATCCAAATTTTGAATCCAAACTCTAGAGCCTTTCAGACTCTTGCTGTTTTTACTTACTTCTTTTGTGACATTTCTGCTTCTTTACATCAGTGAATTTCTCAGTATTTTCAAGAGACATTTCATCCAAAATAAGGTTTCCTGCTAAAAAAATGAAATATTGCAAATCTCAACCTTTGTTCTCCTAGAAATGTTACAGGAGGAGATAAAAGTGAGAGAATGACATGAGAAGACAGCAATGATGAAACATGCTCCAAATAAAAGATGAAAAACAAAAATCATTCTGCAGAACATACCCAAATCTATAGGATTTAGAAAGCTCACAGAACTCCGACCATAGATTCTGTCACCCTGTGTTAGTTTTCAGAATGAAGACACTGATGTACTGTGACAAATTCAGTGGCTACTAAACCACTGCTAATTATGAACAAAGAATTAAACATCATAGCTGGATCACAGCTATATTAGAGAGTTTGTGTGATCTCTGTACCAGAAAAGGAACTTAGTCATTATATATATGAAAAAGATTAATTCTTTTAGAGGAAGAGTAAAGGGTTCTAAACTGTTTATATATTTTTTGTGTTATAAAACAGTGAAGCTATCTGTACTATCCTTCTACAGGAAAATACATAAATATTAAAATTGGATCTCACTTCCTGTAAGATCTGCACCAATTTTGCCATTAGGTTCAACCTCTTTACTCTGAATTCTAAAAACACCAGGGAGAGGTAAAAAACATTTTAAAAGTCACATGGGCCTCTTGTAGCCAGAATTATTTGTCCTGGATATGGTATGACCTTTAGCAAGCAATTCCAAATTACTTTCCCCAAGCATAAAAGAGGATGTGCAGATATTCTGTGAACCTTTCTGAATCTACATATTTCTCAGCAGCCACACATTAATACAGATTCTCTAAAATGGTAAACTGCTGCATTTGTGCCACAATCAAAACACTGGTTTTGAACAAGATGTCAAGCAAATATCTCCAGTCAAGTACTGATATGAAGAAATCATTTACTACATATATTTTATACCATTCCTGTGTTGATCTGGGAGAAGTAAAATCTGACATGATTTCTCAGACAACTTAGTGCATCCTCCACAGAAATAAGGGTGCATGAACTGAATTTATACACATAATAAGTCCTATTCAGGTTTAATGAATATATGCACATTGTCTAATGTCAAATGCTGATAAGTCTGATGCTTCTTGTAGGCATATACTGCACTAGACAGTCAAGCAATGCCTACAATATTGCTATGGTGAAGTGATCAGCAGTTTGGCCACAGATTCAACTGCTATCACAGAGAAAATCCTGCAAAAAATCAAAATTTCCTCAGAATTTGTCATGACACAGTTCCTGGGTGAAAGAAAGCTGAAGGTGGAAGATAACTGATGACAGAAACCTTACTAGTCTTCTAACTGTGGGCATGAAGTACAGTGCAAGGTGTTATCCAGAACTCTGTCATGAAGAAAATTAAACTTGTCCACATAAATCTTACCAAAAGCATCTTCCACCTGCTTCTCATGCTGATCCTTGAGCACATATTCTGCTAATTCAGCTACAAAGAAGAAAAGAGACAGGAAAACAGTAATGCTACAGTAAGTTTCACAGTAAAAATTGTTTACTACTGTTCACAGAATTCTGCAATATAACTGAAAAAACAGAGTTAAATTAAGATTTTCTTGTAAATTGTTGCTCAGGAAACAAAGCATATGAGAAAGGAGAAGTGGAGACAGGAAGTATTAAGCAGAAGGAGCCATTAATAGAGAGATTTTCCCCTAAAAACCACAGGCTGCTGTTCATCTGTTTCCCTACAATGCATGGTTTTAGGTACCAAGGTTAGATTTATTGTGCATGAGGAGCCTTGAATACCTGCCATACCATGGTTAGACTTACTGTGCACAAGGATCCTTGAATATGTGCCACTGCTTCAGAGTGAAAATAGAATTTGTAAGAAAGAGCTATATCAAATAGGTACAAAAGAATGATTGCATTAAGATACCAAGAGCTGGAAAAAAAAAAAAACCGCTTTCATACCTATTCTAGCATAAGCATCTCTGGCACTGGAAGAGAGATACAATTCATCCTCATTTTCATCATTTTCCACTGTACACAGGAAATCCATATTACTGAATTGTTCATAGTTGCAGGTATCAATTTCAGGATCTAGAATGAAAAAGGAGTTAGCATTGGTTTAACAAATACCATAGCTAAGGAAAAATAATAGAAAGCAGGACGTGAAGAAAAAGGAGATGTATCATTTCAGTGTAAGGCTTTTGCTTTTTGGTGCATGTTGGCTAACTAGGAACAGAATTGAATTCTCAGTAACTTACAGTTAACCCAGAAATTCATATTTTTTTTGTTAAACTCTGAGAATTCACCGCTCCTAGTATATAAAACAGTTCCAGAACCCATTTCATGGTACTACAGCCTAGAGAGATGGCATGGAATCATCACAAGATCATAGAACTGCTCAGGTTAGAAAAGACATTCAAGATCATCTAGTCCAATGACAACCTAAACATACTACCCTAACTCTAACAACCCACTGCTAAATCATGTCCCTGAGAACCAGATCCAGATGGTTTTTAAACATATTCAGAGATGGTGACTCAACCACCTCCCTGGGGAGCTTGTTCCAGTGCTTAACAACCCTTTCTGTAAAGAAGTTCTTCATGATATCCAACCTCAACCTCCCTGGCGCAACTTCATAGAATCACAGAATGATTTGGGTTGAAAGGGACCTCAAGGATTACCAAGCTCCAGCCCCTCTGCTGCAGGCAGGGCCGCCAACCTCCATATCTAATACGAGACCAGGATGCCTAGGACCCCATCCAACCTGGCCTTGAACACCTCCAGGGACTTGAATCCATTTCCCATTGTCCTGTCATCTGTCACATGTGAGAAGAGACTAACCTCAAATAGTCCATATTATTAAACCTTTTTACGCTTCAGGATGTGATAACACCATCCAAATTCCCTCTTGGGAATGTTGCAGAGTCCATGCTAACCTCTGATCTGCAGCAGTAAATTGCCTAGGAAAATGCCAGTCAGACAAGACCAAAAGCATGTCAGAGACTGTGTTAACAACTTAACAATGAAGATGTCCTACTTCCAATAAATGGGGCCATATCGTGACACTGTTTAACTTATCCATGTCTTCTCAGACACTGGGAAGGCTCAGAAGAATTCAAAGCAGCAAAACATCTCTGCTGTTGTGAAAGTCAAATCCTTTAGCCCTAATTCATCCTACTTTCAGTTCTGTGCAAGTGAGGTCATGGCAGTGCAAAAAAAACCTCCTGCAACAAGATGCAGAAAGCAACAAGGATTTGAAATGGTATCACTCCAATATGGTAACTTATGTTTATCTGGCACAGAGCTCTAGGACTTAAACATATGTTCTCCTTTCATTGCCATCCTCAACATGTAGTTTGTGTTGAGTTTGTGCAAAGCAGGGTGCTCTGCAATGTCCACACTAATTCAGGAGCAGAATTTGAGAGCGAGGGCCAACCTTCTAATCTGCTTAGCTGTAGAAACTTGTATGAAAGGAAACATCCCCTCGGCACCCTAGTCTTTCTGCTTTCTCCTCCATCACAGAATAATAAATTATTAGTCTGTGCTCTGAAAAGATGTAGAACAGCACCTGCTGATGCAAGTCTGTTGTGTTGGTGCCTTAGGAAATGATAGTTTGCTTGCAGTTGTCTAGCTTCATAGACTCACAGAATGGTTTGAATTGGAGGAGACCTATAAAGATCATGACTTAATTTTTAGGTAGTCCTGTGCAGTGCTGAGTTGGATGTGATCCGTGTGGGGCCTTTCCAATTTGAGATGTTCTATGATCATACAGTTCCAACCTCCCTGCCATGGAGCCTTCTCTTTTTCAGGCTAAACAACTGCAGCTCTCTCAGCCTGCCTCCATAGGAGAGGTACTCTAGCCTTCTGAGCATCTTTGTGCCTTCCTCTGGACCTGCTTCAACTGCTCTACATCCTTCTTGTGTAGGGGGCCCCAGAGCTGAAGCACCACTGCCAAAGGGGTCTCACGGGGTGGAGCATAGGGGAAGAATCATCTTCCACAGCATTCTGGCCACACTTCTTTTGATGTAGCCTGGAATAGGACTGACTTTCTGGGCTGCAAGTGCACATTGCCAGCTCACATTGAGTTTTTAATCAACTAGTTCTCCCAAGTTCTTCAGCTCAGAGAGGCTCTCCATCCATTCACTTTCCAGTTGACACTGACGTTTGGGATTGCTCTGGACCAGGTTCAGCACCTTGCACTTGTCTTTAAATACGTGGTAGTTTCTGGAAGCAGTCATTGTTTTATATACTCATACAGACAAAATTATCACATTGCAAAACAATGCACCTGGAGAATTTAGTCCAGCCACCACAATGAACTGTCATTGGATGGCCACTTAGACTTGAAGAGATGGTAGTGACTTAAATCTAAATTATTCAAGTGCTTTTTAGTGCTTTACTCACCTGCAAAGAATTCACCTTCATTTCCAGATAACTTAGGATCTGAGAATGTAAATAGATGCACTGGATCAATATCACAAAGCAACAAATCAAGGTAGCCATTTTCAGACACAGATGCTGAATCCATGATTTGTCTCTTGTTGTCTGAAATCAGATCACAAAACAGTTAGCTATGACAGAGACAACTTCTGTCAACCAAAAGTAAAAGTCTAGCACTGTGACTTTCTGTTGATCATAAGCCATTGAAATCTGACAGGACTGAAACTGGTCTCACTGGTCTCATGTGTGAGTCTCATTGCAATCTGCATCTAGGTCTGTAATTTTAAGTCATTGTTATAACTTCACTTGAGACTTATCATGCAGGTAAGTCTCAAATGAAGTTATTGCAATGAGATTCACCCATTTTTTTCACACCAACCAAGTGAGATACTGCAGTCTGACCATACAGCCCAAAACAACCTGGCAAATACTAAATAAACTGCAGGTTCTGTAACTTCATCAGAATATAAGTGGTGCAAGCACAGATCCAGCAGTTATTGAGGAAACAAGGAGACTGCAGTGAAGAGGATGGAAGAAGAACCCCATCCTGTACTGCTATGACAATGTCTATTGAGGGTCAGCAGCTTCTAGCTGGGATGCTACATCCCAGCTTGTGAGACCTGCAGACAGCACTAGAAGACATCCCCTCAGTACAGGAAAGAACAGTAAAAGATCACATAGCTATTTTATAGAGCTCTTCCCCAAACTTTATGGTTCACTGTGTATGATCACATTGGGAATTCATTTCTGGTAACAGGGCACTTGCTGGCACTGTAAAATTTATCACAGTAATTTAAAAAATATACTTAATAATATCTGCCTGCACTAGACAACAAAGCATTTATACTATAGATACATTAAGAACTTGTGTGAGTACCTGCTCATGAGCTAATAAGAATTGCTAAGCATTTTAGAGTGCCATTCAAAGTCCAGACAACTCTCTGTACTCATGTGCTCCCTGCTGCACTCCCACATTTCTGTACGGACTGGGAACTGCTTTGTTTCCACATTTCTTTAGATAAGTTTATCTGTCCTCCACCTCATTTTAAATCCCTTCTCTATGCTTCCAGTTAGTGCAGCAAGCACTGGCATAAGCTCAAACATTTCACAGATAGTGGAATAACTGTACATGTTGGTTATTCATCATCTTTATCAAATTATTTCCAAAACAAATATTGGCTTCTCAGTGCTTACAGATCTCTGATATGAATGCTATCTGTGTTGATGATCCAAGCAGCAAATTTTCCAGTCTGCATCCTGTTAAAATTGCTGGTCACAGACTGCAACCATGGAAAGTTTCAGAGTGGCATTGATAATCGCATTTTGAGATGAAGGCAGCAAGCAGAACCAATCACACTACCACAAGCTACTTTCTTATGAACTAATCCTCATTTCCCTCCCAGCCCTGGGTGGAATTGTCCCTTTGTGCAGCTTGGAAATGGACCTCTCTGCATTCTTCTGCAGAAGACACCCAAATCTAGAGCCAAATCTTAGGAGAGCAGGTGGACGTAGCAACACCCCATGTGTAGGAGTAACCTACACTCAGGTACTTCTCCTTTTTCATACTGTGTGACCTCATTACATTACCAACATTACGAAAAGTTGTGGTTATTGCCTGCCCTACTATAAATGGAAAGCAGAAGTTGACAGACCTTCATGAGAACCAAGAAGGAGGTTATAAACATATCACATTAATTTCTCAAGTTGTTGCTGCACGCTCTTTGTTGTATTAATGTAAAATCTAAACACAGTTGGGCCTTGCAGAATATTGTTTTTCCATACTGTGAACAATGCTGTTGAAACATTAACCCCAAAATAATATTGGATCAAAAGCAGAGACAGAGAAGTGATGAGCAGAAGCGCTGCTATTCCATGGCCATGGGCAATGTGCTTTGGGTGGCCCTGCCTGAGCAGCAGCACTGGAGCAGCTGAGCTCCAGAAATCTTTCCAGCCTCAGCCATCCCATGGTCCTGTGCAGTTCTAAAGGGAATGCAAGACAGACAGGTGCATCACTCCTTCCAAGTTGAGCAATTATTAAACTGCTTGATTACAGCAGATGAAGAAAAGGGCAAATCCTATGGAAAGGGAATAAGTAGGCCTTCTTAGTCTTTGTGGAAATACAATCCTAAGAGCTTTTGTTATTTTAAAGATCTCTTCCAATCGCATTTCCCTGTGGTTAAATACAGACATAATGCAAAAAGTTACAAGGTCAAGGTGTCAGGAAAGGAGCTGAGAAAGGAGTCTTGCCAGTGCCAAGTCCAGCTAGAGAGCTGAAAATTAAGAATTAAGAGGAGCTACAGCTCAGGAGTAGAGGAGTAAGAGAAATATAGCCTTCAACCTTGGGAAGAATGAAGACTTTCAAAAATGAAAAACTTGCACACTCCTTTGCTTCAGTTTACCCTCTTTTTTTCTTAATTGCATTGGGCTGATATAAATCTACACAAATCTGCCTTTCTATTATCAACACTGGATTTCAGATACTGTAGTTTCTTTTGCCGAAACCCCCCCCCCAAAAAAAAATATCTTAATAGCAGCTGTGCTGTGGCATTAAAGTGATGGTGGGACTGAGGAAAATGCTCTGTCCAAAGCTTCAGGGAAAAAGAAATGAGCTTTGGAAAGAGGAAGGTTGCTACATGAAGGGTGTGCCAGAGGGGAGCAGGATTACGTCTCTGGATAGTGAATGTTTGGCTGTGTGTTTTAACTGAAGCACAGAAAATGAAACCCAACATTACTAAGTGTGTTTACAACAGCAATTGCTTTCCCAGGACTTTCCCTTTTTTTTTGAACAGCATCCCACTGAATCCAGCAGCCCTCTGCCTGAGACTATAGTTGAATGATTTCTATACTGCTCAGTCACTTTCTTGGTTGTTTCACACATGACTTTACCTTAGTTTACTGATAATACAGTCCCCCAGCATCCTGCACAGCGCTGCCAAAATGGGCATTTGGCATCACAGGACTAAAAAGTTTCACCCAGATCTGTGTGTAAGGGCTTTGAATGCTGTTACCGGCTCTCTGGGGAAGATGACAGTGGACCAAAGTCCCATGGGACATCAGCACTGACATTTGCTTTTGGCCTCTGCACAAAGCAAAAGTTCTAGGTGAGGAAGACAGGTTGCACTTCCCAATGTATTTCCAGGCCTTTCAGAGGGTGCTATCCTTTGCTGTTTGGGTGCTTGTTAAGACTGATTTTTTTCTTTAAATATTGAAATAACACCTCCATTCCCAAGCAGCCTGTTAACTCCAGCTCTATCCCTATATTCCCTGTGCTCCCTTTGCATCAACTCTATGATGACTCAGTGCATACCTCTGCTGCAGCAAGGTTTCTACTCAGGATGCATCCATGTTAGTGCTGTTTTCTACATATACAGCATAGCAATTTGATTCACTTGCAAGACTCCGGGTGATTTTTGTTCAGCACTCTTTTACAGTGCAAGCAAAACAATAAGAATTACAAATGCTGGTAAAGTAGTAAAAGAAATAGTGAGCATCACTGTATCAGGACAAAGAATTGAGCTTATGAAGCAGAAGGTGTTCCCTTAAATCACATACAAGTCTTAAGAGTTAGATGGCATGTTTTAGTTTTCTATAGATAAAGGGAATAAGTTGTGACATCATTTGACACCAGGCAATGAAGTCTGTTACCAGCTAAAGCCAAGTGGTAGTTAAGAGAAAGGAGAAGATTTACACAAAGGCAATAATGTGAAGTTTTCTTCCAACATGAGAAAGATGCTTCTGAGGAGATCTGTCAGGGGGTTTTCTTTCCCAAACTCTTTTGACTGACAGGAAATAAAGCAATTTCCCACAAGTACAGAGGATAAGAAAATTTAAAA